ATGAATTTTTACGGTGAATAACCTCTTTTGTGCACATTGGATCGTAACCAATGACTCGCATTCCAAAAGCTTGAAGACGAGTTGAGACTTCGGTACCGATTCTGCCAAGGCCTATTACTGCAAGAGTGCGACCGAAGACCTGGAAAGGGTTCAAAAGAATTATTCTGCTATAAACCAAAATAAGCACAAAGTGCAAATATGTACCTATTTTTTGTTGACTACGATCCCGAGAATAGAACAATTCAAAAGATAAGGTCCTTTTTAAGATTTCAATGTAAAATAAAACTCCACCTCTTCTCCCATATAGTCCTTTCTAGCCCATTTGCCAGCTTTCATGGATGCATCAGCTTGAGGAACATGTCGTGTTAGACTCAGAATAAGGATGCAGGTTAGCTCGGCTGCTGAGCGAGAGTTGGCCTCTGAAAATGTCTGTATCAAGTACACCAAGATCTTACAAGGATAAAAATAGCCATCTACACTGCAAATTGCTTTTTTCTTAAATAAAATTACTTACGAGGCGTATTCATGACAAGTACTTTGTTAGCAGTAGCAGTTGGGACATCGATGTTGTCTACTCCAGTGCCAGCTCTACCGATCAGTCTCAGACGACCGGCTGCACCAGCTTTAATGAGTTCATCAGTGATCTGTAAGGGATTTTGTCAGATATGAGTTTACTATATCAACAAAGGCCTTAATTTGGTCTTGGCTGGATCTTACAAGCAAAAGGCTGCTTCAACGTGATCATTGAGCGTTCCTAGATCGTAAATCACACTTCGTAATCAAAACTAGTCCAAGCTGCTTTTTCTTCTTTTGCTAGTTCTTCCAAAAAAGAACAGTCGTTAACGAAACAAGCTGTGGTTAGTCAGATTTCAGAAAGACAAATTAACCGCAATTCACACTTTCAAACACTCTTCCCTACAAGCTAGTAAAGTTGATTTTGAGCATACTTAAGTTGTCATGACTACAGATGAACAATGACAATGTGAGCCCTATGACTACATTTTAAGAGCATGGCGCAGATTTGTTGGCGGTTTACACCATAACAACTCAATTTACGCCCAAAAGTTGTCGTCACCGCAGTGACATGTACTCATTTTTGATCTACTAGACTGCAGGCTTAAGGATGCAAGGAGTAATTCGAAAAGCT